TCAATGCCATTCATTCTTCTAAAGCGAAATCAATGCTATCCGATTATTATATTGGTGACTTAATTGATTCCTCCATGCAAAATTCATCAGGAAAAGATATATCAAATCAACAAAAAGTTCCTTGTGATACGAAACAATGGTTATCATGCCTTCTAATCGATAGAAAATATATTAATCATAATACTCGTATTTTACGATTTACTTTTCAATCTCAAAATCATTCTTTTAGCTTGCCAATAGGAAACCACTTCTTGGCTCGTGCTATGATAAATCAACAAACTGTCATTCGATCCTATACACCAATCAAAATATCATACGATTCTCCAAGATACTTTGATTTACTTATTAAAGTATATTTTAAGAATACAAATCCAAAATATCCAAATGGCGGGTTAATGTCTCAACATATGGAAGGGTTACGTATTGGTGACTGCATTGAATTAAAGGGCCCTCTTGGTGTATTCACATATAATGGCCGTGGACAATATCAAATAAAAAATGGTACCAAAGAGACATTACAGAAATGCAAAAAGATTGGTTTACTTTGTGGTGGATCTGGTATAACTCCTGCATACCAATTAATTCAAACAGTCTTTCGAGACCCGAAAGATAGAACTGAACTATCTTTAATATACGCGAATGTAACTGAACCCGACATATTGTTAAGAAATGAATTAGATGAAATCGCAATCCGTGACAAAAGATTCAAAGTATATTATACTTTAGATAATCCACCTCATGATTGGCCTTACGGAAAAGGATATATTTCTGAAACGATGGTTCGTGAACGATTGCATGCTCCTATGGAAAACGCTCAAAGCATTGTACTGATGTGTGGACCAAAACCAATGTTGGAATTTGCTTGTATACCAAATTTAAAGAAAATTGGATTCAAAACTTCAGAGTACTTTATCTTTTAAATAGATTTTGATATATTAATTTAGTCCTCTCTATAGTTATTTCTCCAGCTGCTTTAACAACTTTCAGGTATATTTTTTAATATATTTAATATATATATGTATAAAACCATTG